ATTTTAATGAATTGCTAAAGAACAAGAGAACGTAGTCTTAAACATACATATTCAAAACACAGTTTTAATTTGTCCTCTTTCTTCTGTGCTTTCAAATTGAAACACACTTCCATTGTGCCAAATACCCAACGTCTCATTATTGTGCAAATCAGATGGTATCAGAATAATCAGATTTCCAAATGATATTGGGCCAGTTCTTCCTGGCAGTCTCTGAGATGTCGATTTGGATGTAATTAAATTACCACCCAGCCTTTGTGTTTGTCAGGATACAGTAGATAATTCATACAGTAGATAATGCGGTTGTGGGCAGTGAAAGAACACTAACATTTCTGATTCAGATGACAATAAGTTTACAGACGTAAATGCTGAAGTGACCTCAACCACCCATGTTAAACAGGCCTATAGTCATGTATTGACTCGTGGGAACTGTGTCTGGATGTGTTTGTTGTAGGAGACATGCAGTCCAGCTGGAGGAAGGTGATACAGGCACTCTTCAGCCCATCTACCAGACCACGTACCTGCCCTGGGTCACCTTCATGAACAGACTGGGTGAGTCGCCACAAACACATGCTTCCGTCTGAGTTATGGCTCTGGTGGAATTTACTATGAAGTAATAAAGGTTATTTGGTGATTATTTAAGTTAAACTTAGTCAAATCTGCACTAAAGCATGTGTAACGTCCTGGAATAAAGGTCTGATCAGCCCTCAGGTGGATTTTGGTATAATGTATGATGATGTGAATATTGTGCAAGAAGATGATTTCTTTTTTTTTTTAAAGAAATTGTTGGAGTATGTATATATAATAAAAAAAAATACTTCATATGTGGGAAATAGGAAGTTTCCGATAGCACGTGAAGACAGCAGAGAAGCGCTCTCGCTCAGCACAGTAGAGTGAATCGTGTTGTTAAATTTGTGGTTTATTATTTTGAGTCATTTGGGACGTGGTAACACACGGACCTCTCACAATATATTGCTTTACAGATCTATCACTTTTGCCGCTCAGAAATGTTCACGCAATCATGCTGCACGTATCAGAAGTTAGCACTCACACTCACTGATCTATATATAACTGAACCACTCTCTGGCCCACCTCTTCCAACCGAGCCAGGGCCGGCTAAACGAACCGGAGCGATCACACTAGTCGAACGAACTGGGCTTTGGGGGTCAAAAACGCTCGGGCACGGTTAAGATTGCCTAGTGTGAGTACACCCTTATTCTCCCGCATCCCGCACACATGAGTCTGTACCCGGCCGCACCCGCACTCGCCCATCTAGTGTTGTCCCGCGCCGCACTCTGCTGCGTTGGGTCCCGCGATCGTGCAGGTCTCTACTCGGAAGGTGCCTGTTATAATGTTATTATCAAGGC